GAAAGAGAAAAACAAAGCGACTGCTCACCACTGACTGCCTATAATTAGTTTTGAGAATACAGAACCAATAATGTAATTTTTTTTTAAAGTGATTATTTCCAGAGTTAATTTAATAATGATACACTGCTCTTTATATGTTTTATACTATTATTTTGTATATAATGCATATTTATAAGAAACCAAACATCTGAAGAATAAAAAAAAGTTAATTCATTCAAGCTATTTTTTGTTCTTACTGAGAGAGAATTTCACATTTGTTTATTTTATTTATATATATATATATATATATATATATATACACATACATACATACATGCATGTTTTTACATGTCCATGAACAATTTTCTCTCAATCCTGAAAAAAAAACTCACAAACCCCCCCACTCCCCTCCTTCCACCTTCCCCTTCCCCAGTTGTAAATTGGCTTGAAATTTAAATCCGTTGCCTTGGATACAGGCCCCTTGAGCTGGAAATTTTGAAACAAAGACAGGCGAAGAGCGCAAACGATAGAGGAGCGGCCCCTCCTCAGAAAAACCGAAACAGATGCCCCAGGGTGCAACCTTGCCCTTCCATAAAAACAGCGGCATATGCCGGCCCTCTCACCAGGCTCATCATGGCGCTGCTCAGCAGAACACCCATAAAGAAAACACACACACACTTATCTACAGACGCAAACGAGTTCCAGCTCTGAGGGCCTCAGCCTCGCCTTCGGGGCTAAAGGAGACATCTCGAAACCCCAACAAAAGAATCAACTGAAGCTGTGCACGTGGCCTTCGCGCCCACACATGGGTTTCAGTGGCATTATGTACTCCAAACATGGAACAAATAGGAAAAAGCAAGGTTCAGAATAAAAAAATAATTCTTCCATCACTTCTTCCCAAATAATTCATCACTCTGGCCAAAGTCAACATTATGAGACCCCATGCAAGGCACCAGAGGGCCATGCAGGAGATGTATTTTTGAGTTTATCCAAGTACTAAACCAGAAATGGTTTTCCAGGAGGTCAAGCTCGGGCTTCTTTCCATTCCAAACAGCAACATAATCAACAACCGACAACAAATCTATGCCACACAAACACACTCCACACACACATCCTGTTCATCCGTGTCATAAGCATCCTTGTCTTTGCGTCTGCTTGGGTCAAAAGGACACTTGGGAAGAATAAACACACTTGGGAAAGGGTCCGAGAGAATTTCCGTCAGCAGCCGGAGTGTTAAACACTTATCACAGCAATTAGTCTTGTGCTAAAGCTTTCGCAATGCAACCTGTTACCCGAACCCCTCCCACTGCAACTGCAAGTGTGTATGTGTGTGTGTGCGCGCTGCTCTCTGGCCTCTGGGTCTAAATCGCATGGCCAGGCATTCTCATTGTGTTATAATCACTGCATCCTGTTTGTGACCCAGTGACATCATTTCCTGCTTCCTGTCTGATTAAAAAATGCAGAACATGCCGGCACTGGCCAAACGCTTTTCTCACGCATCTCCTTTCTCCGTTCTCTGTATTTGTACAAACCCACAAAGTTTCAGGAAACGAGCTCATAACAAACAAAAAGGGAGGGGGTATCAAATCAAGACTATTGGTTTCATTTCAAGAGTATTTTGAAATCTGGGCTGTGGAATGTGAAAACATCCTTGACAGAAGGATGCTAAACATTGATTAGATTTTGACACAGTCGGCCATGTGCAGTCAAAAGAATAAAATGGGTAAACACAAATGAACTTTTTCCGAACATGAAACTGCAAATTAATGCCTTTCTAAAACAGCGTTCAAATGCAGTTCTAAAATGTACAATTTAAAACACATGATGTCCAAAACACAGCCATCATGAGTCAGAAATCCAATAAACACAGAGGCCCTCCGTCTGCAATTTTCCTCCACTAACACTAGATGTCACTAAAATGCCCATGCAGTTTGTACAGCTACACATGGTCTAAGCTTTCATAAAAAAAAAATAACTAACAAAAAAACCTTCTGTTGTCTGTTGCTTATCACAATGTTCTTGAAGTTCACTTTTATTGGATGAATTTGGTGAAATATTAAAATGTTTAACCATGTAACAAAAAAAAGGTATGTACAGACTTACATCTATTAATGGGATAGTTCACCCAAACATGGCAATTCTGTCATTATTTGCTCTCTTTCATGTCACTTTTTTTTCTGAGGAACATAAAAGAAGACATTCTTAAGTCAAACATTCTCATCTATCAGTGAACCAATTAAAAAAACATTTATGAAATACATCAACATGTCCGAAACCTTCCCTGCATTGTATCATGTATGGCAGGAAGAATGTTTAAGTGCACTAATATGGGTGCACGGGGCATGGGAATGTATTTTCTCTAAGATTTTTTGGGTCTGTTTATGTTGGGTAGGGATGTATCGGGCCGATACTGGTCTCCTGTACTCGTACTCGTTAAAATGCCCCGATACCAAACGCCAATACCACACAGCATGTGATAAGCGCCATATTCAAACAAAGAAACACTA